ACCAAGTACATTTGTTTTGAAATTTCTTTGTGTTGATTCTTATATTATTACTTAATGACATTTAAATCTCATTAAACAGATCTTTAAAGACGTAAACCTATTTAACCTAGTTTTCACAAGTTAGGTATACATTAAATTGTATTATTGCTTGTCTTATCCAAGTTTAGGTATTGATCTGAAGTTTTAATTTTGTAAAGTTGGTAACAGTAATAAACTTCCAATCTTCATGTGACTCCTACTTTAAGTAACTAACATTTTGGAGTAAAAATGTTTATAACTTAATACAATTTTAGAATGATACCAGGTAAAAAAAAGTAAGAAACAACTGTGTTGTTTTCAAACTATACAACACTATTCATTGATTGAATCTTTTTAGTATCCTCAATGAAATATAAATATTATGTCTATCCCTCCCTTAACAATAAGAGTTTGAGATTAGGATACAATACATTACTAAGTTGTAACATAAAGAAATAGCAACTACAAAACAACATGTGACAACCTACAGCTTTGCTTGTTAATGTATATTTAACATCAATCATCGACATATCCTTAACCCCATGTTCAAATACAGACAAATTATTACAAAATATTAATTTTTATTAAATAATTTACAGAATCAAGATTAGGTAATTATTATCTAGAAAACACCGTGTACATTCAGATTTAAAATGATGAAAGAACTTAACTCGAATGTTAATTTCCCAATACCAAAACACTTGAAACAACGTATAAAAATTAGTTCAAAACTAATTTCAAACCCAAATAAAGTAAATACAGCCTGAGTAAAGATTGGCGAACTTAGACGGCGCTCGCTGAAACGGTGCGGGGTTGTGGTAAAAAGGCATCTTAGTTAGCAAGAAATTTTAATTAAGGAGAACGCAAAAGTAAATTAATTACTCAACTCGACTATTGTGACTTCATACGAAATATAATCGAACATTTATTTCAGGGATGATTAATATTTGTTGCCGATACATTCGTGGAATTTTACTTATAGTTGATATTCCTCAAATGTATTCTTGGAACCCAAAATAGAGGATTCGTTTTATAATTATTCGAGTTAAATTTTTGATTTTTCACTGAATCAGCTGATTCTAGCTGAAATTCAAATTATATTTGTAAATAATCAGCAATGAAGAGAAACAAAAACAAATGTTCACGTTTATAGTAGAAAAATTAGGTTGGTAAGCACGGAATTCATAATTTATAAACGTTTGTGTGAATGTAGTTGACTAAATAGAGATGAGCAGATATACAGTGATACTTGAAATGGTCTAACAATTGAAATATTGCATTAACACGATACTCCGACGGACCACTTTTTGTATTAACACGATACTCCAATGGATCACTTTTATCTTGCATTAACACGATACTCCGATGGATCACTTTTTTGTTGCATTAACACGATACTCCAATGGATCACTTTTTTCTTGCACTAACACGATACTCCGATGGATAACCTCTTGCATTAACACGATACTCCGATGGATAACCTCTTGCATTAACACAATACTCCGATGGACCATATCTTGCATTAACATGATACTCCGATGGACCACATCTTGCATTAGTGCGTTCAAACAGCCGTGGCACCTGAAGGATCAGGAGGCCCCAATGGTTTCCATGGGGTCTCCTAATCCGTCAGGTGCCACGGCTGTTTGGACGGAGTAATCTTGCATTAACACGATATTCCGATGGATCACCTCTTGCATTAAAACGATACTCCGATGGATCACTATTTTCTTGCATTAACACGATACTCCGATGGATCACTTCTTGCATTAACACGATACTACGAAGGATTACCCCATGTATTAACATGATTTTCTGATGGGTTGCCTCATGCATGATACGATACCCCGTAAGATCACCTTGGACATTAACACGGTATTCTGATGTTTCACGCCGTATATTAACACGGTATTCTAATGTAATTCTCCGTGTGTTAACAAAGTTTACTCCAATGTGTATTATTAACACGAGATATAACTTTATGATCTCGATACTCATTTTTGACGGTTCGCGTTGTGGTCACTGCAAACTTTTGATCCGTTAAAGGCACGTACTTATCTAACTGTGGTTAACATGAAAAACATACTATACTTATCCGATGGCTATTATACTCAAGACCCAGCTCGTGACCGTTACAGTTCTGATTAACAATAGCAAATAAAAGAAAACTAAAAACAGCACGTCAGTTTGGATAGAATTCAGATGTTTCAATATTTTGGTCAACTATCTCGACCCTATTAATCTTATTTTACTAATTTGGTCAGGTAGTAAGCTTATTAGTTTCATATCATATCAAATATATGGAACAAGATAGCTGAAAAATTATGATATTTTTACTCTGTTTATACCTATTGTACGGTAGGCCTACGGTAAGTAAAATTTTACCTTGACAAATCTTGTTTTTTTAATTTCCAGAACACGTAAGTCTTGTAGAAGTAACAGGACTTATTTTTGTACGTGTTTCTTTTACTAGACCAAAATTTAGTCTTTGTACTTATTCATAATGCTATCTTATTTTTTGGAGAAATATTTTAATTCAAAGGAGAAAGTGTGCCTTAATGTAAAAGCAATATATTAACCCTATCTATAATGAGACTTACAGAATCATTCGTTTGAACTTAGCTCAGCTAAAATATTTTGTATTTTTTTTTTATCACGTTAATCAAACAGTTGTGAATGATCTGAATTATTATAAATTTTTTTATCAAATGTCCAAGAGGAATATATTTTTTTGTCAACGTGAACTAGGAGACTCAAAAGACCGGAAATGGCCAAACCTCTTCCTGAATATGTCATGCAATTGTAAAATAATTGTATGTGCTTGAAATTTACGGTTCTGCTATGGTTGCTGCTATGGCACTAATGGGAACTGTTCGTCAACCCAATGCTGAAGATTGGTTGACTCTGATTTCTTAAATCGTATTTTTTATAATATCACTTATTTACTCTTAACTGGCAATCGTCGGTCGACCTTATTTAAAAATGGACACTATAGTCTGTATGATGGAACCTGCGTCTACCTGGGAATGTCCCGGGCTTAACCATTGGCCAGTCCCCAGGTTAACCCAGTCAGGAGACAAGTTCCGTGATACAGAATATAGGTTTTCAAGAAATGAAAGACGAATAAATAATTTATTAGATACCACGCACTCTTAATGGTTTGGTTCTGACAAATAGTATTTCAATTATCAATTATCAATCATCAAGATGGGGACACCACTTAGGTGCGTATTTTAACCCTAATATGAGTGAAGGATGAGTGTAGAATGGTGTGAGATGATCTGTGTAGCTTTGTTACTGACTAAGATCAGCGGTTTCATTAGCCAGGATCATTTATTTAAAGCCCAAGGATCAGGAACAGCTGGGTCCGGGTTCGAACCATCAAAAAGCTACTGACTTTTCTCAGGATCGAACCGGCGACCTTTTGATTAGTAGGCGAGCACATTAACCACTCAGCTACCCAGCCAGTTAATTATTTATTGAAGTTATTGATTTGTTTGTAAAATCATAATTCTGTTGTCAACACATACGATTACAACGAACGATCTAAAGCCGTATAATTAGACAACAAGTGTATTGTGACAAAATAAATTGGATGATTGACCAATTTGCGATGTTTCATACAGACTACATTAAAATTGTCCAATAAGAAACATGATGTCGAAATTCCTTTATAAAATTACAATAACAGAATGCTGTTGCGATTTATATAAGCTTTTCCGTGATTTGCATAAATTGAATTGCTATTCCATTAACTAAGTAGACCGATTCGAAGCAATTTGTGAACATTCGAGCGACAAAATCATCGAACTAAGAGTTCGAGTTCATATTAGATAAAATTGCAAAATTACTTGTTTGAAATACAGATTTAAATGGTTTAATACATCTAAAAATGTGGTGTGGTATTAATTAACTTTCATAATTCGTGAAAACTACAAGTACAGCAAACCGGTGCTGCTTAGTTTGAAACAATTATTTGTATCCATTGTCTCAACTTTCAAGTTCAGCTTTTGTTGTACCATAGAATCGATAAAGCCCTTTCTTATTCTCAACACCACTCGACGGGTTTTCGAGCAAATCGTATTTTAATCTAAAATGAAAATTTGCGACCAACGCATTGTTCCACTAAGAACATTCGCCTCTTAAGAGCTTAGTTATGTAGAAGAACCACGTAGAAGTGTTGGAGTGAATTCCGTTGTTCTTCATTATTTCTTTGATGCTCTGTCCACCCTGCGGAACTCACACATCTTGTACATTGAAATTAAGCAATTATCATTTATTTCATTAAAGTCTTAACATATTTTTATTTAACATTTACAAAGAGCTTGGAGCTTAGTTGTAAATGGTGAATAAATGTGAATTACTCAGCTGTATATTCTGTGACTTGATAAATGGAAAAGATACTGATTAAATTAATAAAATGTATACGAAGAAATCGGTTGGACATTTTAAAATGCTTTTCTTCTCAAAATTCGGAACAACTAACTAAACTAAAGAACGTCAATGTGTTATACAGATGTATTTCATGAAACGTGTGCGCGTGAGATTTTATTTTATCGCTGATTCCGTCGCTAGTATCGCTACAGTATTGTACTTCGGATGAAGTTTTACAAAGAGATCGGGCGAAAATCTTGAGAGTATATTAAATATTAGAATACATTTTCGGAAATTATATAAGTTTTCAAATCGGGTAAATTTCTGATGAACATATTTAGGAAACAATGGAAATAGTTTTAAATTACTTGAATTGCTGATAGTTCACCATCCGCTGAACTCTATATGAATTAAATTTTAGCATTTTTAAACACACAAATTTCAAATATTCCTTCCTGAAATCTTTATTGTTGAGTTACAGACCGGTGAGTCCGCATGAAGTATGCGCTAGCGCACATTATAATACATACAATGGCGTAGGATACTTTTTATAAGAGAAAAAGTTGTTTGCAAATGTCATAATAGTTTTCTTGACTGCGAGATTGTACCTGATTGTTGTTGGGAGACAGGGAGAGGACCACGACGACGGAGACAGCAGCGGCTAACAGAGGTGTCCACCAAGACAGCATGGTGAGACGACGCGCGGCGCTGTAGTGAGGACAAGTAGAGATTGTGGAAGCCACCCCAAAACCTCCCACCTCCCCTACCATCCGGAGAGTTCGGGCAACTCGTCGGGACGAAATATTTCCCTCCCCCTTCATCTTCATCATCCCTGCATTTTCCCACAGTGAATCATCAGATGCTAAAGTAAACGTGTTTATCCTCTGATCATGTTTTTTACAAATAAAAATGTTAAATATCTATTGTACTGTCAATGGTCCATTTTTTTGTCGTTTAGTCTGCAACCGAGGTTTTCAAGCTGTCTACCAAGTCGTTGAAAAATTCTTGATTATATTTTGATGAAGATCTGACGTTTAGTTTACATTGTGTGAATTTTGAAAAGGTATGGGATGGTTTTCGTAACTCTAAAAAAGGTTTTTAAAAAACTCCACATGTTCGTTTTTACAGGAATACGTAGAACGGAAAAATAAATATTTACGTACTATTACAACACGGGGATTGAACTGCCTTGATGTTGTTGCCACTTCTCTTGAATCATGGGAGTATGTTGTGTCGACCTTGGACCCTGTCATCGCCGACCATTGTCCGGTGGTGCTTAGTGTGTTCCTTCAGCCTGGGGTAAGTGACGCCAACATCTTACAATGGACCAATAAATATAAGCGCACTAGGCGCATCATTAAAACTGAAAGCTTACCTGAATTTAAGTCTACCTTGTCAACAGTTGACTGGAGTGATGTGCTTCTTAAAAACGATCCGGAATTGGGGTTTGACTCTTTTTTTGACATATTTAGGTACACCTTTGATAATGTTTTCCCTGTAAAAAATGTATCAGCTAGTAACACCAGACTGATGGCATGTAAAAGTAAACCGAGATACAGTGATAAGTCCTGGTATACTGATGAACTGGCCGACTTGAGGAAATTAATGATTTCACTCCATGATAGATACAGGACGTGTGTTTGCGCAATTGAAAAAACTAGGTTCCACACCCTCTATCTCAGGGCCAAAAGGCTCTATAGAGTCCAGGTAGATCTGGCTAAAAAGGAAGCGAATATGGCTGCAATAAGTACAGCGAAAAATTCATGCAAGGCGGCTTGGGGCCTAGTGAACCAGGTCCAGAAACGTAAGCCAGTTATGAAATGTGCAGCTAGCCCTGACGAATTTAATGCTTTCCTCCTCGGTGAGGTTGATAGAATTGTAAAATCTTTGGACTCTCCGACCGATGACTCTGTGCCTCTGCTCTCTCCTAACTTGTCTAGGCCAACTGTCAGTACGTTCACGAGATGGCGCAATGTGACACCCGATGAAGTTATGAAAATTATTAACAACTTTAAAAACTCCCACAGCCCTGATGTGCATGGAATGACTGTCACCATCTTGAAATATGTATCAGAAGTAATAGCCATACCTCTAGCAAAAACTATTAATGCATGTTTACAGAGCGGAGTCTTTCCCAATTCACTGAAGGTGTCAAGAACGGTCCCGGTCTTTAAGAAGGGTGATCCAGCATCTATCAGCAGTTATAGGCCCATCTCAGTAATTCCAGTTATTGCAAAGGTGTTCGAGACTGTTATGAAGAGGCAACTAGTGGACTACTTGGAGCGCAACTCTCTACTTGCAAGTTCCCAGCATGGGTTCAGGCGTGGTCGCTCGACTATCTCAGCTGTCTCTGAGCTGATAGGGGAGGTCCTAGATACGTTTGAGGATAAGGGCTCTGCTGCTTTGGTCCTTGCAGATCTCAGCAAAGCCTTTGACACCGTCAACCATAAGATGCTACTACAAAAATTAGAAAATGTTGGGATCCGTGGCAGTGTATTTGATGCCTTTAGGTCGTATCTCAGTGACCGCAGACAAGTGCTGTCGATATATGGAGCCAACTCTTCACCTGGATTAATTGAGCATGGTGTCCCGCAGGGCTCAGTATTGGGCCCTGTCCTCTTTTTAATCATGATAAATGACCTTAGTGCCATTGGAAGCGTCCTAATGTTTGCTGACGACACAACAATTGTTGCCAGAGGATCTACTCCAGTTTTGGCCCGGGAAAAGGCCACAGAAGTTTTTGAGTTGGCAAAGACTTGGTTTCAACAAAACGGATTGAGCCTCAACCGAGAAAAAACCCAAGAGATTGTGTGCAGTCTCAGTCGTACAAACGCTGACATTTTAACGGAGGTGAAGCTGCTGGGATTCGTAATAGATACAAAGATTAGCTGGAGTGGCCATGTGGACAGTATCTGTACAAAGCTCTCTCGAGTCGTCCATCTACTCCGCAGACTTAAACCCCTGTTGACGAGGCAATACCTGACCACCGTCTATCACGGCTTGTTTCATTCCCACCTCTCCTATGGGCTCCTGCTTTGGGGACACGCTGCAAGGTGTGAAGATATTCTTCTCCTTCAAAAGAAGGCGGTTCGGATTATTGCATCGAAGAGTGACAGTGAGCACTGTAGGCCTATCTTCAGAAGCCTAAAAATCCTTACTATCTTCAGCCAGTATGTACTGTTTAGCCTCTGTTATGTGAGGGATAACTTAGATCAGCTCACAACAAGGGAATTCCACCACTCCCACAACCTTCGTAACAGAGACCAGCTCCACATACCTTACTGCAGGCTGTCCAAAACGCAAAGCTTTTTCCGCATCAGGGCTCTGAAGATGTACAACAGTCTCCCCCAAAGATTTAAGTCTTGTGAACCGTCCACTTTTAAAAAGAAAGTTAAAGCCTGGCTAGTCGACCGACCACTGTACTCAGTTGACGAGTATTTTGATGCGTTCCATCGAGTATAGGCTAAACGCCATCTTGCCAAAGTATTGTAAATAGTGTAAATATTATTTTTAGTTTATGACACAGTCTATCCAGAAATTCTGGTCAACGACGTCGCAGCAGGTATTCAGGTATTCAGGTATTTCTAAGTACACTACCTACTCATATGAAGGTACCTCATACCTCCTAAAGAGATACGACCCCGTTATTGACGACCTTGTTCACGTAATTTTATTTGCTGAACGATTCCAGCATCATCTTCACAGTCTAGACTATTTTCTGTAGTCTGATTCACCCTCTGTTCCAGGTTATTGTGGAGCAGCAGCCCCGTTCTCGACCTCGTCGTGGGAGACAAAAGACTATAAAAGCTCCCGAATTGATGTCGGTATAACCTACGCTAGCCCGTCGCTGGACTTAAGAGTACATGGGTTTTTGGTTTTCATAGATCTCCACTTGCCCAAGTACCTATTATAAAAATTAGTATTTTATGTATTTCGTTGTGACTACGTTCTCTAATTTTGGTATCGCTTCTCACCCAGTTCCTAATTTTAGGTTCTGAATGTTCTTCCGTTCATCCTTTCCATCCATTCCTCACTTCCTTGTTGTTCCATCTTTTGATTCCAGGTTCTAAATCTTTCTCCTTAATTTTGTTCTCTTATCCTTTTTCCTAATTTTATCCTAATCCTTGTCCTAATTTTCTATTTTTATCACCACATCCATTACAGACCAGCATTGGGTGTCGGGGGACTGGAGTTTTTAAGACTTTGTCCACTGGGTGAGTTGTCTCTTAAAATCAGGTAGTCGTGTCAAGTAAGTTATTCTTCCAGTAAGTCCTCTTTAGTTATACAAGTATGTACTCGTCTTTTTGGGTCTCATATTTTAAGTTCAAGTAGTAGTAGTTACTCTTTTTTTGCTTCACACTGATATCTCCTGGTGTATGACTTCCCAGGTCTACACCTGAATCTCCCACATTGGGTGATCTCAGCAGATTCAACATTTGTGCCAAGTGGTTTCATCAGCTGGGAATTTTGTGATGACTTGCTCCTTTACAGGGCCTTCCTCACTGCTGTTCTAAGTGCTGCCATCAGAGGATTGCCTGGGTTGTCATATTCTTCACGTCTAAGAGACCTCCACATCTCCAGAGCTACTCGTGAGAACACCATGGATACAAAAATTCCAAACGTATCAAAACAAAACATTGAAGCAACTCCATAAGTTGCAATGCTCACACATCAGAGGTTAGCTCATCCAGAGCAAGACCCAGCTGTCGAAATAAGTGCACTTAGGATCAAAGGGGGCTCTGGTGCTCTCAATACCAACAACTGCCACCACCAACTTCCCGAACTGGATTCAATGGAAGAAGAAACCCCGCTTACACCAGGCAAAAACTGGATAGAGAGGAAGAACTTCTAAGAAGCCCAAAAACGCCAAAAATCTTCAGGGACACTCGGTGACGCCACTAAACGACTGAGTCGTCTGAAGATGAAGAGACCTCGCCCCACCTCTGCACAAAGAAGGGAGGCCTTAAAGGCAAAACTTCTGGAAGAGGTACCTGGGAATTTGACCTTGACAAGTGACGTAGAGGTAAAGAGAAAAAGTTTGAAAGACTAGATGAGGGAAGAACACCAGGCCCAAATGTGGGGATGAGGGTGGCCAAAGACCCTAGAGGTGCAACGGTGACCCCACCCTCAGCAGAAGGACCTGCAAAGAAGGCCAGGCGTTCAACCCGTAGGTGTGACGAAGCGCAAGATGAAGGGAGTCCAGAATGTCCAAGGAAGTCTCCTACAGGGACATCTCTGCCACCAAAATTGCTATTGTCCTCGAAAACTACCCTGAGGTCAAGCTTAAAGCTGAGTAAAAAGAGGTAATCGAGGATGCTATCCTGGAATACTCCAGCCCTTAGATGATGGTTCAAGCCCACTGTTTGCCGGCATCAAGATGGATAAATGTGCCCTCATCATTTCCTGCCTCAGCGACGCCGTCAGGCAATGGCTGGAGGAACTGTTACTTGCTCTCAAACCATAAGAGGAACAACTCACTCTCAAGGCAGGGCTGAAAAAGGACATATTCAAATCTACGAGGGTATTCTTCAGAGCTCATCTGAAGCTTCTGAAGAAAACACTAGAAAAAGTCTTTGGAAATGTTCACAAATGCAAAACCCCGCTCTCATGTCAAGGAGTGTAAGGAACTGTGGAGCTAAAACAGATCTGAAAGGGTACGGATTCGTCTGTTCCCTGGATGAGTTCTGTTACAAAGCTGTGCAGTCCACCAACT